TTTTGTTGTTTCTATCTACACGTATATACAGATATACTGGATTTACTTTGAGAGAGGTTATTTGGTTGTGGCAAGTAAGTAGTTTAGCTGGTGAATGTTCACAGTTAAGAGTAGCTGTAATGACCTCTGGCAGATGTCACTGATTACTTGTGAGATATTTTTCCACCTCAATCCATCTTCATTTATGTCCTTGGTCATCACAAATCAAGTTTATCTTATTTCTGTAGCCAAGGAGAATTTTCTCCCCCCCCCCCAAGAGTAGGATAAAGTTCATGGAAATGTTTCAGTATTTACAAGACTATATTTTTACCCTTTTGCAAAAATGTCTAAAATTTTGTAGACATCCTTAAGCCCATGTGTCTGCACAGATGACGGTTGTAATTACTCAGCCACTTGCAGAATTTCATGAAGAAGGATATAGTTACAAGAATGGACAGGAGATTCAGTGTATCACCTGTTATTTGCCAGGTGGCAGCAGCTGACCCACATTTGGAGAGATTCAACCAAAAGGGCCACACACAGCATCAAAGAACATTGCTAACAGAAAACAAACTGCTCAGATATCAATATAAAATAGCAAACACTGAAGCAGACACAGACAAGACTTCTGATTCACTGTGTAGACAAAACAGGGGTGGGGACAAGATGGTCAGCTCATTTATCCAAGATACTGCCCAGTTCACCCTGTTATTATCACAAAGGGAAATTCACAGGCCTCATTTCTCAAATACCACTCAGGACAAAGCAGGAGAGAGTAAACAGCATCATTTCCATGGCAGTATTGTAGACGATGAGTAAATCAGACCGGTCGAGGCCTACACATGGCTGCAAGGGCCCAATTTTCAGTAAAAACACATATATGTATATGCAAACCTTATCCTAAGGTATTGTTTTCTTTATACTGATTCTTAAAAAGTAGACAGGGGAAGTGGTGAATTACGTGGTACTAGAAATGGACAAATTCTTTTAACATTTGCACAATACGTAGGAGGAATAGAAGATATTTTCTCACATTTTGGCAGCAAACAGTAACTGAGTGGATATAGCAAAGGCCAAACAATCTACTTTAACAGCACACTTATATATATTCTCTGTAAACACATTTTAAAGTCACATTATATTATAATCTTCATGTGGTATATACAGGTGCTCCCGGAATGATGGGAATTCCTAGAAATGAGAGGAATAACATTGGAATAAGCTAGGAACCATAAAACCTCAAAACTCTCAGAGGCAACCCAAAGTCATTTTCTTCTTCTGTTATCTACCTTAAAATGGCAAGCTCCTATTAAGGATTTGGTTCCAAAATTCAACCTCTAGGGTATATGTTACACATGCATATTCACTACAGTTTATTTAACTTCTGCTCTGTAAGCAGTAACGTGAAGAATACTGGTATCCAAAATAACAATTATCAGACAATTCTAAAGATTTAGAAATCATCAAAAACCGAGTTATATTCAATGCAGCTGAACTTGTCAAGGTAGGAAAACATACCAATATATTTTATAAATACTTCATTTTGGACACAAACAAAAAGGTTTCTTTGACCTAACAAAATGTTCAACTTATGCCATTGATCCAAAACACAAACATAAATGAGGATTTTACTATGTGTAAAGCAGTTGGTCTGTGGCATCAAAGCCAATAATCCAGAAAGAGATAATTAGGAAAGCACTGAAGATAAACATAGGATAGCTGAAGCAATGACATATTTCTTGTGGTCATTAAAATAGAAAAAAAAAAAATCAATATTTAAATTCTAGTATTTACTGGGTAAGCCATATAGCATCTGAACATCTTAAATGTCTCATTATCTTCCAGGCACTGTGTCCTAACTCATCTCTCTTACGCTACTGGCTTAAGAAATATTTTATATTTATCTACCCAATAAGGTATTTCCTCCATATATTTCAATGACTAAAAAGCATTCAGGATCTAAAACAAATTAAGGATAAAACCAAATTTCAACCTGGTATGTGTCATACAGGTAAGCTGAGAATAGAGCCAAACAAGCTCAAAGAATCTGCCACAAAAACTGTTTTCCACGTTCATTTGTTGGATGAACCTAAAGCGTCACGAACGCCTACTGCATGTCAATGCCATGTCACAGACTGAAGGGAAGGAAAATCTTCAAGGTTTTTTGTGGTGAGTACTCAGGGTATCCTATAGCAAAAGCAGGGCTTGTCTTCAATAGGCTCCTTAATTGGCCATTTGATGGTCCATTTTATTACTGTTTTGAAAAGCTGTTCCTTCCTTAAGAGTCAATAAACAACCAAACAAGAAAGGTTTCCTCCTATTCTGTGACAATCCCTGGAGTGGGGGAAAAGTAAAGGTGAAGAGTTAAACCATTAAAGCTCAAGAAGGAAAGGCTAGTTCCAGTACCAAAAAAACCCGGTTAGAGGTACTCCATCAAACGTGAAGTCTTAACCCTGAGAGGCAGCACGGCAATGCTGAATTTAGTTTTGAGTAATTCAGTGTAATTTTCCTAATTTGTTTCATGTGCGACAAATGCCAATGACTCTCTTAGGTCTCTGCTTCATCTTTAATTTGAACTATTTATAATTTTTAAACTTCACGACTTATAAATTTAGAATTACAAATTTGTAAGTTAACTTGAGCTCTTTATAATTCATGTGGTGGCACCAAACTCATGAAAATAAATATTATTCCCAGATGCTTAAATTCTTCTTTTTCTCCTGTTTTAATGCAGGAACAGCCTGTTCTAGCCACTTCCCGGCAGAGGATTACCTGGGGCCCACCCATCTGGAGCGGGCACTGTTGACAGCTGCTACTGTGTACACAGGGTGTTCTCCGTGCACATACAGCATGTAGGCCAAGGCGTGAGGGAGGCAGGCAGGGAGGACGGGCTCAGAGCGAGACCATAGCCTGGCAGAGGGATCTCCAACAAAAGCCACAGGAACACTACTACGAATGGATATTCAAGGCCCAAAGAGAGTTTTAGACTAAATCTCTCATCATTAATAGTAATGTGATTGCTAATTTGATGGCAATTTCTATTTCAGGTAGTGTTCTTAATAGAGGCCAATTGGTAAGAAACGGAAAAATGCACCTCATTAAAAAATTCATTATCAGTTCCAAGCATAACAAACTGTAATTTTATTTCTGAGGCCCTGGGAGCACTGTGACTGGAGCCTTTTAGGCGGTCTTCATATACACTCCGATTGCTTCACAAGAAACCAATGGCTATATATTAATTTGGGCTGTGCCCAGTTTAGCATATGGGTGTTAACAGTTCAGGTATGATTTTGCCCTATATGTGCAGAATCTGCAAAAGAGAATAATTTAAAAAAAAAAAAAAAAAGGCCAAAACAGAGATTGTGAGCTTCCTGCACCAATGGCATTTGTGAGTTTCCACAGAGAGGGAATACATGGCCACTCTTTTCGGACTCATCGAGGGGAACAAGCTCAGGCAAGGCAACCAGCGAGCACCCCTTCCATGCTAAACAATCTGATTTTCTCTTAATGCAAGGTGGACACCAGCGATGTCCCTGCAATGAATCTAGGAGGGGAAACTTTTCCAGGGCCCAATCTCATTTCCCTCTTCCACACTCTCAGCTCTCAAGCCACTGCTGATCGTCCAGCCCGGTGCCCTGCAAGACAGTCCTGGGCAAGAAGGACGTGCTCCTCTTCTGGAAACAGGTGCGGGCTGAGCTCAAACACATGCCTATGTTCTCAAAAACTACAGACCACCTGACGTTCAAACCCTGTTTTAGTGAAGGCCTCTTTTATTGGATTTGAAGCATGAGATAGGAAAGTATTTTTCTTAAAATCAGTAAGTTCACACAGGCTACCTTTTTACTATAGATTAGAAACTTGGCAATTACATGATATTCGTCTACCTAACAAAAACTGTGCGGAAGCTTCTGTTCTATTTGGTGTTGACTACATTTTCTATTAGACACTACTATTGAACAAGTAGCTACTGACCAAGCAAGTCAAAAGAAAGACAGAAACTGCAGCCTGTTTTCAGGAGGTGAAATTAAATGTATTGCTTTTGTTATTTTTTTTCAACACAGAGAAGAGAGTGTTTGGTAAACTGGCTGTTCATAATTCTTTACTGAAACCTTAATACTCTCAGTAGGATGTTTTTGGAGGACACCTGTACAACACAAACTTTAGTATTATTAATAATTCAAGGACTCCTTCCAAGAATTTGGTCGATGTACTTCCTCTAAAGAGATATGAATTTAATCCAGTCAGAATCATAGAGCTGCCCCTTGCCTTCCATGCAGGGAAATCTGTATATACAAATTCATGTTTTATGTGGGCGGTATTCATAGTCAAAACTTAGCTCATTTTCCTAACGTAACTTTCTTACATTTATTAACGGTATAACAAGGTTTACAAAAACAGCTATCTGCAGATGTTTACAAGTATTAATTCATGTTTGGTATTTTATGCATTTAAATGCTTTTACTTAATGTCATCTGGCCTAAGAATGAGTCAAAATTTGTTTCACATTTTTTACCTTTTAGTTCTTATCATCTATTTAAATTTTGTGTGGTAGTGGCATTCTTATTGCAATATGACTAGAGAGTCTAACAGTGCTTTTGCTTATAGTGTTTTTGCTATTTTTAATGTTAAGCAGGGATTTTAATGGAAATACCAGAGTGTGATAAATTGAGGCAGTAATTCTAAATGACACATGTTTAATGATAATGCTAGTTCCAGAAGCAACATCATAATAAAAAAAAAAAACCCAGTGAATATTACTTCCTCTTAATTAAGGTCATGAACCTTCAGTAACGCTTCCTTCTTTTCTCTTGTCCTTTCTTGCGAATTGAACTATTTTCATTCATGGAGCCCTAATCAAAGGACCCAACAAAGCTTCATAGCCCTATAGTTAATACTTGCTTTCTCTAACTGGTCTCTCGAAAAAAAACAAAACAAAACCCAAAAAACTAAGTAAGCTCTGACATACACAGACACTTGGGAATACCGTAACTGTGCACGAGGGTTCCCATACACGTTCCCTTTCAGTCTAACACAGAAGAAGGGGCGGGACGAACACAGCAATTGGGGCGTCGAAAGTTCTGCAACATGGACTGCAGGACGCTGTGCTGCCTTCCTTTGAGCTTTTTGTTGGAAGAAGTGTCTGAGGAAATGGATCTCCGGGCCTGGCTGCTTTGAGCTTTGATTAATTTCTCGTGTTCCCTGATTTGTCTTTGTAGATGGTTCTGGATGGCGATGCCCAGGGACTCCGGGTCCAGGGAGGCACCGTACACCTCCCAGGTCATGCCCTGCTCATCCCACACGACATCCCTGACACGCTTGGACTGTTTCAACTGCAGCTTGGCGTCGGCGCTAAGTTGCTTCTTCTTCTCTCCTGGGGTGAGTCCCACCTGCGCGGCCGCCGCCGTCACGTTTAACTTCTGTTCCTTGAGAAACTCGCTGACGCGGCTGGCCCTGCGGGGGCTGGCTTTGACCAGGCGGGAAGGGGTCCTCTTGCCGGAACCTGGGCTGGAGTCCCCCATGGAGTCAGCCGGCAGGCTCAGGCTGGTGGCTGTCTTGGTCTGTCTGCTTTCTTCCAAGGTACCGTCCTGGTTCTTCCTGACCGGGGACGGCGTGGGGCTGGCAGCGGATCCAGCGCCTGCACTTTCTTGAGATTTAGGGTTGAGCAGCAGGGTCTTGGCCTCTGCCCTTGCCCTGGATTCGAGGCTATCTGTGCCCCGACATTCCTGCTGTTTTACTCTGCACGGAGACGCAGGCTCTGTTGCCTGTCCTTTACCAGCGGGATCCATGCTCCCAGACGGGTCGTCTTTGCTGGCAGGGCCACAAGAGTCAGAGAGTTGGCAGTCTAGGTTTGTTTGGGGACCATCTGTGGTTTTCACTGCAAACTCAGATGGCTTGCTTTCAAATTTCCCCAATTTGTGATTTGTTTCAGTTTGACTTCCTGCACGAACAGAAATCTGGTCAGTGGGGCTAGCTTTCTGGGAGCTAGAGTTCACGTCCGAAAGCCCCGTCGGGGCCATGCCTGCTGACCCCCCATCTTCCTTGCACATATCTTGAGCATTGTCAGATGCCACAGTGATCGTGGAGATTTGAAGGACCTCCCCTGGGAGGCTCCCCAATTTCCAGTCCCCTTGGCAAGCTGTGGAAACTGCCGCAGTTGCCTGGATGTGCACCTCTGGCATGATGCCAGGGCACTGGCTCGACTCCTGGGGGCCTAGGATGTCGTCAGACAGCTCTAGCGTGTGGCTGCCATGGCCGCTGCCATGGCAGATGATACGCAGCTGCTCCTGTGGTTCCTGACGCTCGGGAATGGGGATTTCTTTTAGGAAGGTGGTGAGGATGCTGGGGCTGGTGGAGACGGACCTGCTCTCGACACTTGCCACTGCCTGCACCTCAGCATCTTGCCGAGCCCTGCTGGCAACCTCCTGGACCTCACCAGCAGGTTGATTGGTCATTGTACTTGCTTCTTTGAACCTTGAAACCTGGTGCTGTGCAGGCAATGGCACCTTTCCCAGATCTGGAGGAAATGCGGACCCTTGGCTAGTGAGGTGGGATGGTTGAGATGTCACAGAAGTCATGGCCTGGCTGTCCGAGGTGGTGGCAGAGCGCTGTGTATGTCCAGAACACCCGTCTTCTCTCGCTGGAGACTCACAGGACCTTGTCTGGGAGTCGCGAATGGCTCCGGGCCTCTCCCCTTCAGGTCCGCCTCCAGGAGAGCAGGTGTAGCTGAACACAGATGCTGCTGTATTTGCAGTTTGCACCAGTCCCTGGACTATTTCTTGAGAGGGAAAATCACAGGGCACTTGGGCTTTTCTGTTGCTCTGGGTGCTGCCCACAGGACAACTTGACTTTCCAGGTTGCTCCCCGTCTGATGTTCTCCGGGTTTTCAGCAGCGTATCATCAGGTCCTGGTAAGGGGCTGGCACTAGGCTGGTCGCCTGGGATGGCCTGGTGGCTGTGTTGATTGGCTGGCATTGTAAATGCTTCGTCTAGAACATCCTTTCCTGCTGCAGAACACGGAGCTGGTGCTGTGGGCTCACTGCTTCCTGGCAGCTGGGTATTGCCAGGAGAGTTGCATGGAGGACACGCTTTTTCCACCTCACTGAAGACACTGGGGGAAGACATGTCCAGCGGGGTGGTCTCATGCTCAAAGGCCTGCATCAAGGCCTCAGCAGCTGCCCTGGGGCTGAGGACAGGCCCTTCAGGAGGGCCAGAACGGCCATTGGTGTTCTTACAGAGGAGGGCTGGTCGAGACCGAGGTGAGGCAGGCTGCACTTCTTCTAGAGCCTCTTCTTTTCCAGAAGCTGCAAGCAAGGAAGTTTTAGCCGATCTCAAAGGGTCAGGTACGGTCCCCATGGAATTCTTCTTCAGGAAAACCTCAGCACTCTCCCCAGAGCAGTCTCCCTCTGGGAAGCAGTATCAGCTCAGAGTGAAGACTCAGTCAGGGATGATTCCTCTGAGGGGTCCATCTGCGAAGGAGGGAAACAGTATCATTAATACAGTACAGCATGTAAAGCCTGAAAATATACCAGCCGGTCATTTGTGCCAGATCTTACAAGCACATTAAAATTTTCTCCTATATCTGTTGATATAAGAAGAGATCTTAGGAAGAAAGATTTTGAAAAGAATATTTTAATTATACAAGTCTTATTTTGGTGCATTAGTACCTGCTTAAATCCCATTGCTGTCTAGCAAACAGGTTTTTAATGTATTAACCTAAGCATATGGTAACGACCCAAAAGTCATTTGTGTAGTCTGATTTACTGCTACCAGAAAGTCCTATAAAGCTACTGTAATCAAATCAGTAAGTATTGAAATAGGCCTAAACAGATATATGAAATAGAATATCTAGAGATAGATCCACATATAAATGAAGATTTAATATGTGACAAGAGAGGCAGTTCAACTTAGCAGCGAAGTGATGGATTATTTAATATAAGGAGCTGGCAAACTGTTAATGCATCTAGAAGAAAAGAAAACTAGATGTTTATCTTACACCAACTCCAAAAATAAATCCTGGATGCATTTAGATGGATTAAAGGTTGAAATGTAAAATAAACAAATAAATAAGAAGCCTGTAAGAAAATCTAGGAAACATAAATATAATCTAGGGGCAGAGAGAGTAGGCTTCTTTTAGCAAAGGAGAAAATACAGAAACTATAAGAAAAACCATAAACCTAAGTGACTGAATAAAACCCAAGAATTCTATATGGCAAAAGATACCATAAACAAATATGATAGATTTGAAAAACAAATGTTTAAAACCCTAGAGGACATGCAAAAGTATCTATAATATAGCAGACACTCTTAAAAATTTACAGGAGACAGGGTGCCTGGGGGACTCAGTCGTTCAAGTGTCTGACTCTTGATTTTGTCTCAGGTCATGATCTCAGGGTCATGAGATTGAGCCCCATATGGGGCTCTGCACTGCGCATGGAGTCTGCTCAAGATTCTCTCTCGCTTGTCCTCTGTCCCTTCCTTGACTCACCCTCCTCCTCCACCCACTCACACGCTGGCTTGTGTATGTGCCCTCTCTTAAAAAAAAAATTTACAGGGAGACAAAACCGTTCGTTGGAAAAATGGACACAGAATATAAAAATGCAGCTTGCAAGATAGGAAACCCACTCAGCAAGCTCATGGAAAGATGATCAAATTCATTTGTAGTCAAACGAATGCAAATAAAGTAACAATGAGATTTTACATCAACAGCACTTGTAAAAACTTAAAAAAAAAAAAAAAGAGCTATAACATTATGGCCTGAGGAGACCTAGTGAAAAGCAGTATTTTTATTACTTGTGGGTGCAAACTGTGTACTGTTACAGCTTTCTTAGGGAAGTTTAGTTTTCTTTTTCTTTTTTTTTTTTTTAAGATTTTATTTATTTATTTGACAGACAGAGATCACAAGTAGGCAGAGAGTCAGGCAGAAAGAGAGGAGGAAGCAGGCTCCTGGCTGAGCAGGGAGCCTGATGCGGGGCTCGATCCCAGGACCTGGGATCATGACCTGAGCCGGAGGCAGAGGCTTAACCCACTGAGCCACCCAGGTGCCCCGGAAGTTTAGTTTTCAAAATGAAAAATACACGTCCTCGACACAGTGATCCCACCCCTATCCACAGAAATAAAACAGCAGCATGTCTAGACAGAGATACAAGTATGCTTATTGAAGTACTTTTTGTAGGGGCAGAAAACTGGGAACAAATTGCTCTCCATGAATGGGGGAATACTGGAAGAGATCATGACATATCTATTGGAGAGTGTTATGTGACCATTAAAAGAAACAGCTGTTTAGGCTGTTAAGTTTTCACTTGGGAGGGATTTCCCCCAGGTATGACTGAGCCAGAAGGGCAAGGTAAGGAAAAGAATACATGTTTCCATTTTTGTCAAGCAATGACCTAAAATACTGCACTAAAGCACACACTGACCTAAACCACACACTGTATGTTTGTGTGTGTGTGCACACAGACATGTTTGCATATGAATATATAAATTCTAAAAATATTTAGAAGGAGACATATTAGGTCTTAATGGAAGGAATGTGATGAGTTGAAGACAGAAAAGGAGAGATGGAGGTACTGAAAAGTGGGAAAGGGCTAAACTTTTAAAAGTATATCTGAATTTTAAACTGTATATCCAACTTTTTTTTTCTCCTCCAAACCAGCTCTTCCTTGTAACTTTATTATGCATATTAACCTGTTGAATTGAGTATTCCCATCCTTGGTCTTGACTGTTTGCTGCTCACTCTAATCCTTTCCTCAGGTTTATATGCCCTATCTTCTTTATTGGAGTTTTCTGTTGCAATCACTTGTTGGGCCCCAAACTCATCTTCCCCTCTCCTTCCTTCTCATCTGCCTTTAGTATGCCTTTCCTCCCGCTCTCTGTCCTCCTCATCCTCAAAAAGCCTACCCATTCTTCAAGACTCCACTTAAATATCATTTTCTTTCTGAAGGCCTCTAAAAGCTTTCAAGTCATAAAGTCTCTTTTAAAATCATACAGCTATGGTTATCTGGGTCCTTCTTACGCACTGTTTTTGTACCTTTGTTACTTGTACAAATGTCATTATTTCTCCAAAAGGACTTCAAATTCCAGAAGGGAAGGGGACATGCTTATTGACGCTTTCTGTTCACTCCACAGGAGACAATGCAAAGTCTTGTGCATAAAAAGGTGTTAATTGATCCCACTTCCCTCCAAAAGGGCCATTATTAAATCCCCACCAAACTTCCAAATAATAGGAAATTTTAACTGAGGACATGAACTATTAATCAAAACACAATTTAAAAGAGTGCTATTTTTGAAAGAAAATGGTTGTATCTTATTTATGAAATGTTATCTGTAATTCAGTGTTAGACAATTAAAAGCAAGTACTGTGGACACCTGCTACAAAAGCTGGAAGGTTTCATGAAGCTAAGAGTACAGAACATCTCCTGTGTTCTATAGCAGGAGCCAAGAAACCTGGTTTGTGAAAGACGACTGTGAAACATAGACAGCTCAAGGTTCAGCAACGGAAGTTGGAAGACCGAGAAAAAGATGACGGATTTCAGAAAACTCTCAGAATTCACTGCACTGACTTCCATTTTCCACAGATAGCTAACTGCTTCTACTGGTTTAACTCTGAAAGGGTGTTTTTAAAAAATTGGTTAATAGAAGTAAAATTATCCATCAACTCAAGAATCAAAAAGAAAAACCAGATTGCCTGTAATTCATCTCTTGTTTCACGGGTAGATAAGAAATCAAAATTTCTCTGAAACAAATCTGCTAAAGTAGTGTCACAGCTTCCTCATGCACCCAGGAAAAAAACCCCACCTCTCCTCTTTTCATGTCCCCTCTCCAACCAAAAGCAGAAATCTATAGTCTCCCATAGGTCAGACAAATAGGACATTTTAAAAGGAATTATTTGGTTCTTTAGAGTAAGGAGGATGTATCTTTTAAAACCAAGCTGAGTCCATTAAGTAAGATTTAAAAACCTCTAAAAATGAAATTACAGGTAGCCTACAGGCTGAACGAATCCCTGCTGCAGTTGTGTGTGTGTGAGAGAGAGAGAGAGAGAGAGAGCGAGCCAGTGAGCAAATGATCACATGCATGAAGGCAGGAGGCAAGGTGTGTGTCCAGCATGGTTTCCCCTTCTCTTCCCTCCCTTTCTTCCCCACCTCCCAGCTCTTTCCCCCTCCTCCTTCCTTTTCCTTCTTTTTTTTTTCTTTTCCAAACTGAAGAGATCTTTCATAAAAATTCAGATTTCTCTCTGTTAATCTTTAAAAACCCAGAAGGTGTGAATTACTAGACAGTAACCACTAGGTGGTGATGATGAGGGCTGGCCATCTTGATGAGCATGGACCTTCCAGGTGATGCATTCCCCACCCACCTTGCTTTCCTAGTTAGTCTTACTTACCCAGGCTTGTGAGGGCAGCTAAGTTTGAGAACTTTGCTCTAAGAACACGGACAGAGTACACTTCCCAACCTAATTTTGAATCCTCTGAGGGCAGGTTGGCCTTGTGTTTAAGAACATGGACCATGGGGCCAGAATTTCTGGATTAGAGTATCAGTTCCACTAGCTAGCTCCAGTCGTATTTGGGCAAGTAACTTAACCTCTCAGGAAACCCCTTTAATCTATAAATTGAGGATAGTAATAGTACTGCCTCATTGGGATGTTGTGAGGGATAGATTTATTTATTTTTAAAAGATTTTATTTATTTGAGAAAGAGAGAGAGAGAGCATACGCTGGGGGGAGGGACGGAGCAGAGTGAGATGCAGACTCCTAACTTGAGCAGGGGGCCTTGATGCGGGCGGGACTTGATCCTGTGACCCTGGGATCATGACCCCAGCTGAAGACAGCCGCTTAAAGGGCTGAGCCACCCAGACGCCTCACAAAAGAGATTTAGCATTTAGAACAAACAGCGTCTTGGCACATACCAAACACCTGATAAGCATTAGCTTCTTTTGAAAACCTCAATATTTAGGCTTTGATCTGTGTTAAAGAAAAAAATTATTCTGACATTTGTGAAAACGGTAAGGAAGATTTTATTCAAGACTATTGGGACAGGTATCAAGACTATTGCATGAGGAGAGAAAGATCAAGTTCACCTCCAAATACAACTGCAAGAATAAGTGGGAATTTATAACTAAGTAGCAGCACCGGGTTGTCAGGCTCCCTGCTCAGCGGGGAGCCTGCTTCTCCTTCTCCCTCTGCCCCCCACTCATGCTTGCTCTCTTCCCCTAGTGTGCTCTCTCGCAAATGAAGTCTCAAAAAAATAAATAAATAAATAAATAAAAACAAAAACAAAGAAAGAAAGAAAGACAAAAGAAGAGGGCTCAGAGGAGACTGACTAAAGTCCTTCCAAGAGGGAGTCCTTGTTGTCTTTGTCTTT